TTTATAGCTTGCCGAACTTCTTTCTGGGCTCAGCTCCCCGTCTTTGACTTCATAGATTCTGATTCCAACCAGTTTTTCTTCCTTTGTTCAGGAGCCTCTGACCAGGGTTGCTACCAGTCGGCCATCTTCCCAGAATCCCCCACCACTCTTATTTAGTGTAGCAGCGAAAGGCCTTGCCAGACAATTGGCCAAGAGAAAGAAATGAAGGACATCTAATTGTCCATTTTTTTTCCCTTCTTCAATAGCTTTATCTATTTTTTTTTCATTGCAGGCACAAAGAATTAGGTTACAATGTTTGCATTAAAGTCCCTCTTATAATTGTGTCCTGCCTCCAAGAGGTATGCCATCTACCCTAACATTGTGCCCATTAAAAGGGCACACCCCATCTCCCTTCTTCCTCCCCTTTCCCCGCTCCCTCATGCACAAACTCCCCACCTTGAATTGATTTGAATTTTTCTCTTATGTGGGTGTGTAAAAGATTGTCTACTGGCTTCATATTAGAATTGAGTACACTGGATTCTTGCTTCTCCATTGGTGTGGATGTGGAGAGAGGGGAGCACTTTTATACTGTTGCTGAACTGCAAACTAATACAACCTTTTTGCAAGAAGTATAGAGAATCCTCAAAGAGTTAAAATTGTGCAACCCCATTACTAGGCTTCTACCCAGAATAAAATAAATCATTTTATCATAAGGACATTTGCACTAGACTATTTATGGCAGCTCAATTTATGATCACCAAAATGTGGAAACAATATAAATGCCCACCAACCCAGGAGTGGATTAACAAGCTGTGGTATATGTATACCATGGAATACTCTTCAGCCACCAAAAAAGATGAAGACTTTACTTCTTTTGTATTAACCTGGGTGGAGCTGGAACACATTCTTCTTAGTAAAGTATAAAATTGTCCATCTTTGCAGATGACATGACCTTATATATAAAAAAAACTAAAGATGGGCGGTGCCTGTGGGTCAAAAGAGTAGGGCGCTGGCCCCCCGTATGCTGCAGGTGGTGGGTTCAAACCTAGCCCTGGCCAAAAAACTGCAAAAAAACCCCCTAAAGACTCTACCACAAAGATGTTAAAACTTATAAAGTTGCAGGATATAAAATCAGCACACAAAAGTCAGCAGCATTTCTATATGCCAATAACTAACTGGCTGAAAAAATAGATCAAGAAATTAATCCCATTAACAACAGTTATTAAAAAAAAAAAAACCCTGAGGAATACATTTAACCCAAGAGATGAAAGATCTCTATGATGAAAGCTATAAAAGACTGATGGAAAAGATCAAAAAGGACACAGGAAAATGAAAAGACATCTTGCACTTACGAATTGAAAGAAACTGAAAGAATCAATATTGCTAAAATGACCACACTACCCAAAGCAATGTAGAGATTCAATGCAACTGCTATTGAATACAGTGTCATTCTTCACAGAAATAGAAGAAATAATCCTAAAACCCATTTAGGATCACAAAAGAGCCTGAGTAGCCAAAGCAAAACTGAGCAGAAGAACAAAGATGGGAGCATCACACTACTTACCTTCAAAACTACTACCAAGTTATAGTAACCAAAACAGCATGGTTATTATTATAAGAACAGATACACAGACCAATGGAAGAGAGGATCCAGAAATAAACGCAGGAATTTACAGATTACTGATTTTTGAAGCATACCCATTAGGGAAAGGACATTCTCTTTAATAGATGATGCTTGGAAAACTGATTATGCATATGCAGAAAAAAGAAGCTAGATTCCCATCTTTCACCATACATAAAAAACAAAAAGAATTGAAGCTTAAACATAAGACTCCATTTATAAAACTATTAGAAGAAAACATAGAGAAATGCTTCAGGATATTGGTCTGGGGAAAGATTTTAGAGGGAAGATTTCAAAGGCAATAAAAACTAAAACAGAAAGACAGGACTGTATCAGACGATCACCCTTCTGTACAGCAAAGGGCACAATCAATAGAACGAAGAGACAACCTGCAGAATGAAAATATTTGCAAACTATTCATCTGCAAGGGACTAATATCCAGGATATACAAGGAATTCAAACAATAAGAAAACAAAACCTGATTAAAACATGGGCAAATGATAAAAAAAGATGCCAACTTTCTATCTTTTGTATTAACCTGGATAGAGCTGGAGAACATTTTCTAAAGTAACGTATCACAAGAATAGAAAAGTTTCCAATGTGTTCAATACTAATTAATATGAAGCTAGTAGATGAACTAATACATGCCCACACAAGAGAAAAACTCAACCTAATTCAAGTTGGAGGGAGAGGGGAGAAGAGAGGTGGAGGGGGGGGGGAACGAGGGAGGGGATTGGTGGGCTGTCACCTGATGGGCACACTGCAAGGGTATATGGCACACCTCCTAGGTGAGGGGTACAACTACAACAGGGAACTGGACCACTGTAACCTAACTGCTTGTATCCTCAAAAAAAATTAAAAAATAGGCAAAGGATCTGAATAGATATGTCTCAAAAGAAGACATACATACGGCCAACATGTGTGGAAAAATGCTGAGGAAATGCAAATCAAAACCCCAATGAGACATCCTTTCACTCCAGGTTAGAATGGCTATTATCAAAAGGACAAAAAAATAATAAACGCTGGTGAGGGAGTGTCAAAGGGAACTCTTATACACTACTGGTGAGAATGTAAAGTAGAACGGCTATTATGGGGAAAGAATAGAGATTTCTGCTGAGATTATGATCTAGTAATTCCACTACTGGAGTATTTAAAGGAAGTAAATACCTGCACCCTTTATTTATTTCATCACTATTCACAATAGCTAAGATATGCAAGCAACCTAACTGTTCATCCACAGATGAATGGATAAAGAAAATGTGCTCTCCCTATATATATATGTAATATATTTTTTATATATATATATATATATATATAATGTTATACACCCACCCACATACACAATAGAACACTAGTCAGCCATTAAAAAGAATAAAATCCCATCATTCCTGGCAACATGGGTAAGCCTGGAGAACATGTTATATGAAATAAAGACAAACACAGAAAGATAAATAGTACATGTGGTCACTCAGATGTACACACTCAAAACTGCAAGCTCTGGCCAGGCATTGTGGCGGGTGCCTGTGGTCCCAGCTACTTGGGAGGCTGAGGCAGGAGACTCGCTTGAGCCCAGGAGTTGGAGGTTGCTGTGAGCCTGATGCCATGGCACTCTACCCAGGGGGACAGCTTGAGGCTCTGTCGCAAAAAAAAAAAAAAAATACAAAAACAAAAAACTGCGAGCTCGTGCTGTGCCTCAGTAGAGAACTGTGGGAATTCGAGGCTGGGAAGGGTAGTGGAGAGGAGAGAACACAGGGAGGTTGGTTAATGGACACAAACTCACAGCTGGACAGGAGACATAAGTTCTCGTGTTCCACTGCAATGAATCGTATGTGACAATAACTTATTGTATATTTTTAGAAAGCCAGAAGAGAGGATTTTAAATGCTCACAACACAAAGAAAGGGTAAGCGTCTGAGGTGATGCATACACCAATCACTCTGATTGGATCATTACACATTGTATGCATCTGTACTTCATAAATATGTATAATTATTACATGTCAACTAAAAATAAAAGAGAAAAACAACTTTCAAAAGGTTTTTTAAAGCCTCTGAAGAATTTATCATTTCCTTAAGAATGTTTTATTTGTTATTTTTATATATTTTGACTACCATTAAAAGCCCTGAGGGCTTTTTGGTTAATTTTCTTTCCAGAAGTATCTTCATTAGAACATATTTCTTAAAGGTATCACTATCCTAACATGAGAGTCAGCATCAAACATAATTGCCATCCCTACAAAGCAGAAATTTTATTTATTTTTTGTCTAAAATCCAAATGCTCTGTGCCTACCTTTTAAGGACAGGGGACTGGATCTTGTGAATTCTGCGTTTGATGGCTTACGCTGTTTACGGACACCCAAGTATTCCTTAACTCTTGAATTGATGGTTTCTTTTAACAATAAACAGACTTCCTAAAATAAATAAAAAATTGTACATAACTTTTTAATTGAATGCTTACAAAAAGTTAACACAGTACATGTTAGAAAGTCAACACTGGACACTGCATTTGATTGCTTTTTAATTTAGCTATGAATACTTAAGGGAATGCTACATATGCTTGTGGTAACACTGCAGGTTTACATTTGCTACCTAGGTTTGTTCATAACCACGATACCGGCTCACAGTGTGATCTGGGAAATTCATTTCATTTCTCTCTGCCTCAGTCTCACATTTCTAAAAGATAAAAACGCTAACTTTAATGTAAACACTAGTGTGACAAGGTGATAAAACCAGTGAGGTAAAGAATGTTTTCCTGTAAACATAACCAGTCTTGCACTGGGAAGTCTGGAGCTAATACTGGGCCCCAGAGAAATGCCCACTGTGGCCAGGCAGGGGGTATTAGGGGCAGGGAAGAACCTGGGAGTAAAGGTATGTTTGTAACCTGTTGATGCATGGGGTGCCCAGACCACAGACCAGTCAACAGCAGGAACCCCACAGGCCCCATCATTTTAGTGGACCATTACCGTATTTATAGGCACCGTACTGCCAGATCTTCAAATTTGTTCAAGAGGAGCCAGTGATTTTATACAAAATTTCCCATTTTTCAAACTTGCTCCTATTTTTTTTTTTCCTAACCTAAACACCATCATTTATAAGTTTCTGGCTTCAGGTTTACAAATCTACTGAAAAAGAAACAGAACTGTGCAGTGGGTTAAACAGAGCACTGGAAATCAGCAGTGGGATTTTCCCCCACATTCCCGTTGATGACTGTGTGTACACACATTTGATTTTATTAAACCTGCACTATAGTCATCTATTAATGGCGAAAATGATTTCCTTTCTGTAAAGTACCTTAACATTTATTAGGCAGCTTTAATTCAATTTCAATAGACCACATCACTAGCAAATTTCTGGATCTGCCAATTGTTTTATATATTGGTGTTATTTATAAAAAAGAAAAACAAAAATCTAAGCCCTACCATGTAATGGGAAGATAACGTGTACAGTGTTTTCTGCAGGACCAGGAAAATGTAACCTAATGTAGGAAAGGGGAGTCACATTGCTTGCAGGAGAACTGATAGCTAAAGACAGCTGCTTCTTCCCAAAGGCTGCAGCAGGCTCAGAGTTGCCCAGGTCACTTCAAACTTGTTTCACTGGTTTCCTGCAATGTCATTTCAGGTTGATCTCTTAGAATGTTTATAAATTAAAACAAGAACAAAGTTTTTATCAGCTCTGAGGACCAAGACAGTCAAACTTTGATTAAAAATACTTGGACCTCTCAAACAGTATAGAACACTCGTGATTTAGCTCACAAATGTGGATTTCTAGATAAAATACAGACTCTGGCCATCTCTCCTGCCTTTTCATTTTACAGCTCACAGATGCAGTGCCCTGTGGAGCACAGAGGTATCTGTTTCCAGTTGAGTGTTTGGCACTGTTCACACAACAGAAAGGCAGCCATGCCTCATACTAGTTTTTCTTTTCCTTCTTTCTTTTCTTTTCTTTTTTTTTTTAACAATTAAAGAATTTTGCTTCACATGCAGAGTTCAACTATGACTGAGCTAGAAACTATGTGAGAGACATACATGGAAACAGGATTGCAAAAATTTGGCCATAAATGCCCTATAAGGCTAGAACTAAAAATAGTACGATAAAAATAAAGCAAAGGCCTGTACACATAAACTATCTCCTTCTCGTTATGGGGCTGTCCTTCCATGAGTCAGGTTTGACAAATGAAAGGTAGACCCCGTGCAGTGTGGCTAAGATAACCCCAGTGACTGACCACACCATGCTTCGCCTTCTCTTCAGAATCGGAGCAACTCAAGAAAAGAAAAACTCTCAGCGACATTTGAGGGGCAGATGAGAAGACAAAGTTAAAATCGGTGAGCAGGAGAGAAGTAATAGAGGGTATGTCTAGGCTAACAGGGGCTACGCTCCCTTCCTCTAAATTACAAATGGAACAGTTTGTGTTTGACTATTTGGGTACAAAGACTACTTGTGCTGGGCTCAAAATAAACATAGGTTTAATACATGTAATTAGTTCTTTTTTTTTTCCCCAGAAAAGAACTGGATATTCTTAGGCTTTCACTATATAAAGCAACTGTTAAAATGCAATCAAACTGGTTACTCATGAAATCCCGATCATGAGATGGTCTAATGATAAAAAAGATGAAACGCATTGGGACGCTGAACACAGGCTAAAGTCATACCCTTTCCTCAATTAGACTTTCTCCTTTCTCATACACACAACTCATCCCAGAGCATTTTCAGCAGTGAACACATATTTCGGAGCAGCAACTTAAAGTAGAAGCAGTGAACTGACTACTTCTGTTTGAGAGGAAGGCTCAGCTTGCTGGCACACCTGGCCTCCTGCAGCTGCCACCGCCATGATGCTCTACAGGTCCTGTCACGCACCGCACAGCTTTGCTAAGTCATGCCCTCCATTCCTCAGGTCAGTGCCAGGTGGAGCAACGCAGCTGCAGGTGGCACCCACGCTTTGGCTATGAGGTGATTCACATGTGCATGGCTTTATTGAAAGCATTCCAAATCAGCTATTGGGCAAAACTGACTAAATATCAGCAAGAAAGGCCAAAGTCTGAGGTGGTAAAAAGAAGAAAAGAACGCACCTGGAATGGCGGATTCACAAAGAACACTGCCAGTCTAAGACAAGTCAGAAGATTTGGGGTGAGGTTCCCTCGGGTGAACATTAGTCACCCTGGGGAAATGAATGAACTGCTCTGAATCACAGGGACACGTTAGTAAGCTAAAGCAGGGAATTATAGGAAGACGTGTGACAATAGATGTTGCCCTGCTAAATATTCAAAAGTCTCAAACAGTTGGGTGTGGCGGCAGTGAGTAGTAACCTCACTACTCAGGAGGCCAAAGTGAAAGGATCCCTTGCAAGCCAAGAATTTGAGACCAGCCTAGGTAACCAAGACCTCATCTTAAAAAAAAAAATTCAGATGAGGAAAATTCAGTTGTTTACCCGAAGAATAAATCCCATCCCACTGAACCTTGTGGCTTCCTTCTCTAAGCTTCCGGTGACCAGATATGCTTTACAAAATAATGACAGCAAAGTCCTGACGACACTATCTGGACTGACACGGTCTGTCCCATAAACTTGGGGGTGGGGTAGGAGAGGATTTTTTTCTAGTGCTTTCTAAAAGCTGACTGCAAATATAGTTATTTATCAGCAAAGGATTTTTATTTTTACTTTTCAGCCACCATTACTAATTTCTTCTCCATATACTACCTTTTCGATTTTATTTTTTTTTTTTTGTGAGACAGAGTCTTTCTCTGTCACCCTGTGCAGAGTGCTGTGGTGTCATCATAGCTTACAGCAACCTCAAACTCTTGGGCTTAAGAGATCCCCATGCCTCAGCCCCTTGCCCCCCCCCCCCAGTAGCTGGGACTATAGGTGCCTATGGCAACTCTTCATTAGAGACGGCATCTGGGTAATTTTTTTCTGGTTAGTAGAGATGGGGTCTTGCTCTTGCTTAGGCTGGTCTCAAACTCCTGAGCTCAAGCAATCCACCCACCTCAGCCTCCCTAAGTGTTAGGATTACAGGTGTGAGCCACTACACCCAGCCTGGGACATCACTTTCAACTACTACTTCTCCTCTTTTTAAGATAGAAACCCTTCCCATCCCAAAACAAAGAGGTAGGAAATTTCTGGTTTAAATAATAGAATAGCATATAAAGTGTACAGATACAGTAGTTTCTGAATGGAAAAAAAAAAAAAAAAGTGGGTAGATGTGTGTCTGCCAAAGGGAATACAACTGTTTTTTAGGAATAAGTACCATTTAATATTTTTCCCTACTAATAAAAATGAAAGCTGAAAAGATCTAATATTCCCTCTAGCATCAGAGGCTACTTGCATTTAAGGAGTAAAAGGTTTCATTGTACCTCTTTCTTCTGTTCAGAAAACCAGCTGGTATCTTTGTTGGAACCTTGTGGCGATACATGAAGATCCACCAGGACAGCAAAATTCCCACACTGAAAGACATTAGAGGCAGCGTCAGTGTCTGTGAGGCTCACGCCCAGCAAACAATGAGAGAAAATCTCACAAATTCCTATGTGGTTGCTCATGATGAAACAGCAACAAAGTTCACTACTGAACAGAAATCTTGGTACTGGACAGGGCTACAGGTCACACAGGCTACTTTTCCTAAGGTTGAAATTTATCATGTAAAGGCAAAGGTGAAATGCAGCATTGATCAGGATGGGAAGGACAAAATGTTGATCTCTGGGCAGCACCTTGAAGGGGGATCCCACCTGCAGTTGGAAGACTGTCAAACATTGAGAGACATTCAACAGGGCAGCACTAGGTAGGTTCCAGAAAAGAATGATTCCATGCACAGTCAGAAGAGTCCCTTCTTCTAAGCAGGAAAAAACAGATAAAAGCTATTGAATTTTCAGATAGGAGGACTGGCTGGGATGGGACACCTAGGAATCGAAATAGAAGCACAGAGGAATGAGAAAGAGCAAGCACAGAAAGGTGTGTGCTAAATGCCAGTTATCAGAACCACACAGCCTGCCTCTGTTCTTATTCTACAGGTTAGTGCTGTCCACACTTTAGAAAAAATGAAAGTCTTCTATATCTACACTGCTTAGTGGCATAGCCAACAATCTTATGTGGCTCCTGAGCACTTGAAATGTAGCTATTGTGCCCAAGAATCTAAATTTAAAATTGTAATTTAAGTAGCCACATGTGGCTAGTGGCTACATATTAGATAGCACAGCTACAGACCCTATGCAAAGTTGTAGCTTTATAAATGCTCCCACCTGTGATCCCAGCACTCTGGGAGGCTGAGACAGGTAGATTGCTTGAGCTTAGGAGTTCGAGACCAGCCCGAGCAAGAGTGAGACCCCATTACTACTAAAAGTTAGCTGGGCACAGTGGTGCATGCCTGAAGTCCCAGCTACTTGGGAGGCTGAGGCAAGAGGATTGCTCAAGCCCAGGAGTTTGAGGTTGCTGTGAGCTATGATGTGACTGACACTCTGTCTCCTAAATAAATAAATAAATCCTCACACCTCATGAGTAAGCACTTTCTGAGCATAAAAATGTAACTTTGAACAAACTACTCTAAAAATGAATAACAGAACAAGACTGCAGGCTGGGGCTGGTCTAAGAAATTTAGAGGTTTATGGCCACTAGGAAAAAGTCAATTTCACCTGTTTGGCTGAATAGATTTTTGCTTCATTTTTAAAAAGTTTTATGTTATAATTCAATGGTAAAAGAAAAACAGTTTCAACAAATAGCGTTCAAGTGTCAGACATAACTATGTAAAGAAAATAGAAACTGACACCTCTTACACTACACACAAAATTTGATTTCAATGGATCATAGACATAAATATGAAAAATTATTTTCTCAACCACTGAGGGAGGGAAAGACTTCACAGGAATGGAGAAGCACGAATCCTATGTATTCAACTTTGATATGAGGACAATTAATGACAATTAATGACATGGTGGGGGGTGGGGGAAAGGGGGGAGCAGAGAGAGAGAAGGAGGGAGGAGGTGGGGGAAAGGAAAGAAAAGAAAATAGGACTAATGCACACATAAGTTGGATTTAATTTTGACCAAAGTACATTATTTGAACAATGATTTCTAATTCAACTTGTTAATATGTTGTTTAGGATATTGGATTCTCATTTATAAGTGAAATATGTTTTTTGTAATTTCCCTTTATAATAATATATTTTTTCCAATTTTAACATCAGGTATAAAAAAAAAAAAGATTGAGAAAGCACCAGATATTGAGTAAAAAACTGTTAAACTGGACATTAAAAATTTCTGTTTATTAAAAATACCATTAATAAAATGATTACGTAGGTTATAGACTTGGAAAAAATGTATTGATAAACATATATTTCTGGCATAAAGGACTCAGAGGACACATCAAGGACACATAAAGAACGACAAATCAATATTAAAAACAACCCAACAGACACTTCACCAAATTAAGGTAAATGAATGGCTAATAATAGGAGTATTAAAACAATGTTCGGCATTGTTAGTCATTAGGTCAGTGCAAATTAAAATACAATACACTCTGGAATGACTAAATTAAAAAGACCAACACAACATAAAATGTTGTTAAAGATATGGAGCAACCCAAACTCTGTTTCCTGGTGAAAAAATAAAATTGTTTAACTACTTCAGCAAACAGTTTGCTCGTTCTGTATAGTTAAACATTCATGTATTTACTGAGCCAACAGTTTCACCTAAGGTCTTTACCTGAGAGAGATAAGGCATATGTGCACACTAAGACTTGCATGCCAACGTTCACGGAATCCTAAGAACCCAAACTGAAGACAATGCCCAGGTGTATCCACAAGAGAGTGAACTGTGCAATATTCATGCAGCAGAATGCTACTCACCACACCACTGATACACTCCATATGGATTAATCTCAAAAATATTAGGCTCAACAAAAGATGTCAAATCAAGAGAATATATACTGTACGATTCCATTTATGTAAAAGTCTAAAATAGCAAAACCAGTGAATAGTGAAAGAAATCAGACCACTGATTGCCCAGAAAGGAACTGGCTGAGAACCATCACAAAGAAACTCTGTATCTTAGATCTGAGGTCCCTGATCCCAGTCCTGGTCCATGGCCTGTGAGAAATGGGGCTGCACACCAGGAGATGAGTGATCAAAGCTTCATCTGTATTTACAGCCACTGCCCATCACTTGCATCACCGCCTGAGCTCTGCGTCCTGTCAGACATCCAGAAGCATTAGATCTCATAAAGGTACTAAGCCTGTTGTAAGCATGGAGGGAGGGAGGCTGTGTGCTCCTTATGAGAATCTAGTGCCTGAGGACCTGAGGAGGGCTGAGGTGATGAAGCCAGGGTTGGGGAGTGGCTCCTGATACAGATTATCATTGGCAGAGAGGTTTGACTGCACAGAGACCATAATAAATCAATTACTTGCAGACTCATACCAAAACTACCCTGTGGCCCTTGTCTGTAGAAAAATTGTTTTCCATGAAACCAGTTCCTGGTGCCAAAAAGGTTGGAGGCTACTGTTTTAAGTATATACCTAAGATCAGTTCCTTTTACTTTACATAAATCATACATTAATAATAAAATAATTTTTGAACATTGTATAAAATGCATTCATATTTGTCAGCAATTGTTTAAAATGTAAGTACTACATCCCTGAGAATGTATGGGTGTTTTGAGGTAGTCCAGAATGAACTGTGAAGCTTGATGAAAGATGGTCTCCTATGATACCAAATACGGCCCTACACCATGACGCACCACACTGCAGTTTCACATGCTACAGCCAGCATTTATTTTAATGGAGAAGAGAATATTAGAATGCAATAAAAAATATAAGTGTCACATGGTAAGGCCAAGAATTGTTTTGGGAAATGTAAGTATGTGTGCACCAAGTTATGATGGAAAGTCTTTCTCTTGTTGTAGGTTGTGGTCAAAAATGTTTGAAAATCGTATTCAACTATACTGTTATTATCAAAGTTTCTTCTCAACTGTTGATTATAGATTTAACCTTTAAGGAGTATGCTGCCACCAGGTGGAGGTCCCATGCCACAACTACAAGATCTTAGCCAGGAAATATTAACCTTTCATGTGTCAGAGACCTATTTAGCCAGCTGTGAAATTGATGAAATTTGAATAATGTTTTTATTTCATCTTCATTATTATTCTTTTTCTTTTCCTAGAGATGAGGTCTTGCTATATTTCCCATGATGGACGCAAACTATTGGGCTCACACGATCTTCCTGCCTCATTCTCCCAAAAAGCTGCAACTACAGGCATGAGATATTGCACTAGGCAAGAACAGTGTTTTAACTGCATAAAACACAACACATAGGATTAAAAGTAAAATCAACTACACTGAAGTGCAGTTATCAAAATAAAAGAAAAGCAATGTGACATAGTAAACACTTGCTTATTAAGGCATTGCATCTTGTCACAAGGCCGGTCTAGTGGCCACTTTAAATCTGAAGTTGTGATGAGTATAAATGAGATTTTCAGATATCTATAACTATTATATGATATGAAAAGAGCTATAATTTCTAATGATGACAAATATTACTAATACTATATTGTGTTTGGAAGCCTACAGTCATAATAAACGGAAAACAAAATTTTACTAGAACTTGGTCAAAATAAAGACAACTTTTTTCCCCTTGTGCAGGTTCACTGAACCTCTGGGTTCTATTCACAGGCCTAGTGAAATTCCAGGGATTCTGGAACAAAACCCTTCCAGTATAGTGGGAGATGGCTCATATACGTTTTATGGAGGTTTTCTAAAGGTTCTCTTCCCTCATTCTCAAGTCTAAACCAAGTTCTCAGTCACTTCTTCATTAGCAAAAATAATTCTTAAAATAATGAAAAAAGTGTGAAGCTTAAACAACATGAACTATTGTCATAGTAGCTTTCTAAAGGATTAAACAGGAAAGACCAATTTGGTATTTTGCTCACCATTTTGTGACTTTGGTCACAGACAACCTAGCCTAAATCTGATTATAAACAGACTGATTAGAATGTTAATTTGTTTAAAAGAAATCAAATGTTTGTTTTATTAGATCATAACTGTGTACGTTATTGAATTTATGGGGTACGATGTGCTGATTTTATATACAATTTGGAATGTTTGAAATCATCAAATCTTACTCTGTGATCAAACTTTCCCAGAGTTTCTGAAAGACTCCAGCCTCCGCCCCACCCCCACCCCCAACAAGCAACCTCTGAGTTCTCCAGCCTGAGCTCTCAAACTCCCACACTCACCAGGGGTATTTTGACTTTCTAAAGTTCCCTGCTCCTACAAGTAAACAGAAGGGGGAAAAAAAATCAAAGCAAGCTTCTCACCACAGCCAGCAACACAGCCTCCCTTTCTCCTCCTCCTTAATTAGGACGGGGTGATTTCTACTCTCAGAAGATAAGCTCTGCAGCTCTCTCCTGAGAGAGCAAGAGGGGAACCGTCACTTTTTTCTCCTGCCAGAACTGGTCATTTTGCA